GTGGAGGGGGGCGGGCGGGGAAGAACAGGGATAGATATTTTATATATTGTGAGGTGTTTGTCCTAGATATTTTGGAAGATTCAGGTTTGACAACAAAGTGACACAAGATAAATGATTTTTAGGGGTTCAAATTCACCTGGCGAGAGAAGTAGAATGGCTCGTCTTCAGGTAATGGACAGATTTAGATCAATTTATGCTGAAGATGGATGGATTTTCTCCAGCTCATTTTCTTCTCTCTGCTCATGGTGGGGTCAAAGGAGCTCCCCCTCTCCTCCCCTGCCAGTCCTGCTCCCTGCCTGTCCCCCTCCAGGTTACCTGAAAAGGCTCGGGATGCTCAGAGGACACTGAGAGGATAAAGTGCATGTCCTGGGGGTGGAAACCCAAGTGCACCCAAGATGTCAGAGCCAGGACTCAGGCCATCTGTCAGACTCTTCCTTTTATTGGGGGGGTCCCCTACATTTTCCAAGTTGAGTTTTTGAACAGGATCATTCATGAATGTTATACTGACACACCTTAGACTGCCTTTTCCAGGCAGGTTTCAGATTTGTGTTTACCAGCTGACCTAGGAACACTGAGATGTCAGGTGGCAGCCTCTCCTACCAGGGATGTCACCACCTTGACTTGCTGCTTACCAGCAACTAACTTGAAGTTTGACGTTTTTCTGATTTTTTTTTTTTTTACAAAAGACACCAGTGTTGACATGAAGCACGGGCCCCAAACTCAACACCCAAGTGAGGTAAAGGCGAAGTCCTTAGGTAGCTAGGGGCATATTGGGTGCTCAGGGGACCTACACTAGCTGCCTGGGGATTCAACTATTATGCAAAGGAAAAGAACAGAATAAAAAAATATGTACATGTGCAGAAAAGGTGTCACCAAAGGTTGTGTCTCCAAGGGAAGGGTGATTAGGAAATGTCTCTAATGGGTTTTAGGTCACAGTGTACATATGTTCCTTTATAACACAGAACTTGGTTCAACCTCACAAGGTTTCAGCATGCACATGTATGGAAGCCTGTATTGCCTTTGGCTGGGATGACTGGGGGGAGGGGGCACTGCTTTCCGGGTTGGGCAAAAACCACTAGCTCTGAGGGCACATACATCCAATGTTCCCACAATGCTTGGGGCAGGGGGCTCAGTGCCTGGGACAGACAGGCAGCTTCCTTTCATACTTGGCAATCTGAGTTAAAAAGTCAGATTTGCTCTGCCTCTAACTGAGCAGGTGTCAGGGGCCCTGCCTTGCATATACTCCACTAGGTCTAGCATATGGTACAGCCACACTCACCTCAAAACCCAGCCAAGATGCCGCCTCCCTTAGGAGGCCTTGCCTCATCCCCTCCACTCCCCTCTGAACACAAAGCCACGCTTTTCCGGGTTAGGATGAAACACAGGACAAGGAAGCAAATGAATAATGAGGGTAGGAGTGGGAAATGTAAACATCCAAGTGTCCAAACTAGCTAAATAAGCCACGGGACATCAACAGACCACTAGGTGGCTGTTAAAAATCATGTTTCCAGGGACTACTTAACATGGGGAAATGCCCCCAGCAAAATATTAAGTAACTAGAATATAACCATTTAAAATATAGTCTCAATTTTATAAAAAATAGTCACACTCATGTATATTATATAGTAGGAAAAACAGTAGAAAGAATGACACTGAAATGTACATAGAGGTGATCTCTTAATGGTGGAATTAAAAGCAATTTTTAAGTTTCTTCATACTTTTCCATATTTTGAAATTTTGTCTCAAATATTATAATTATAATAATTGTATTTCTTAAGTGGAATCCTAAATATTTGCTAGTCTTAGGCTTGCATCCCTTCTTCTTGCCAAAATGTCACCTGACCTCTGCTTGAACTCCTCCACAAATGGGGAACTCACTACCCTTCTTCCTCATGAGAAGTAGAATCTGGCGACCTTGAGCGTCCCTCACTGGCCACAATTCTGCCTCCTGGAACAACAGAGAACATGGCTGTTCCTCCTGCCCCTTGACAATACTTCAGAGGTTCAAAGGCAGTAGCCAGGCCCCAGGCTCCATCCCCCCCCAACCCCAACAGCCCTCCAAGGACGTTAATATCCCCCTGGCTCCCACATCCCTGTTTGATTTCCTTGGGTACAATCCAGGCAGTGACATTCTTTTTTTTTTTTTTCTTAAAAAGATTTTATTGGAGAATTGAGAGAGGGGAACATTGTTGGGGAATCGGGGAAGGGGACCAGCCAAGTTGTTGTCCTTTTGTTCTTCAGTCTAGTTGTGGAGAGGCAGTGACATTCTTAAAGGACAACTATGTCACCCTTATGACATCACCCACATTCCCTCTTATCAAGGGCATACTGCTTGACAGTCAGTGTATCAGGGACTCTATTACACACATTTTTTTCACCTAATCTTTAGAACAACCCTATGATCCAGGAGCGGATATCATGCCTATCTTACAGATGAGGAAACTGAGGTATGGAGAAGCCAAGTCCCTTCCACGGTCCCTTACGGGATCTGTGATGGAGTCGGGACTGAAGCAGCACCTAGCCCAGAGTCTTGTGCACCAAATTAATTCATGAATCCATGAACCCATTTCTAAAACCCATGCCCTTTGTGTCTCTGGTTGTTTCAGAATTATTTATGCCCATGCAGGCTCTTCCATGTCACTCACTTGTGCCTCCCTCTCTCTCTCTCTCTCTCTCTCTCTCTCTCTCTCTCTCTCTCTCTCTCTCTCAGCCTGCCATGTGGAAGTGATCATAAAGGACTGCTGAAAGACTGGCCCATTGAGAACCTATTGCCTGAGGCCCAGCTTTGGGAGCAGTGCTGAGCCAGCTTCTCTAACACCCTGCTCAGAGCTGTGGCCAGAGCTGAAGCCCTGGGGACTAGGGAGTCCAGACATCACACCAGGCACAGGCACACGGGGTTGACCAGCAGGCCCTAGGTGCTCCTCCCTACCACTGCCCAGAGGGGGCTGCTAACCTGTTGGAGACAAAAGGCCCTACATACTTCCATATCACTCCTACAGGAAAGTCCATGAAAAGCCTGTTTTCTTGGCCCCTACTCTGTCTTTCCAGCCTTCTCCCAAGATTTCCGAGGGAACATGGCCCCATCTGCTATGGTTTCTGCCAAGACAGGTTTAGGACCACACAATGCAGATGGTTCCTTAGTACCCACCCCCAGTCTGCTAGGAATCCCCACTCATTCATTCACTAGGATTTCAATTTGTCCCAATAAAGCAGTGACTTAGCCTCTCAATGGAGTCTAGAACAGCTGGTCAACCAAGGCCACCAGACACGGTAGACCACAGAGCTCAGCAAACCCTCAGATCTTTGAACCTGGAGGAATCTTGAGAAGTCTTAATGGTCAAACCCCTGTCCCTAGCTAGGATAGATCCCACTGAAAGCTCCGGCTTCATTCCTTGCTGCCTGCCACCTCCACTCTCCATGATGAGCCCCATCATACAGAACTTTCACTGGCTCAGCCTCTACTCAGGCTGTTCTCTCTGCCTTGACTGGGTAACTCCTACCAAACCTTCAGTCAAGGCATCCCTCTACCCAATCCAAAAAGCCTTCCTGTGTCTCGTCGCCCAAGGCTGGATGAGCTACTCCTGTTGCACAGTGGCTAAGCTCCAGCCTGGCTCTTACTTGATCCTCATTCACTCACTCAAATATTTACATAGCACCTGCTCGGTGCTCTACACCAGGCAGTGAACCCTGGGTGGGGCATGCAGAAAACCAGGCTCAGATGCACAGCTTTGCCACCAGCTGGGTCTATGACTTTGGACACATCATTCCTCCCTAAACCTCTGTTTCTTTACCTGTCAAATGGGGAAGATGCTGCACTCAGCCTGGATTCCAGGGCTTTTGTGAGCTCAGCAGGATGTGAAAGCACTCTATAAACTGCCACTCTGGTTGAGTCATCGTTGTCGTGGCCCCGCCCACTACAGTCTGAGCTCATTTTCGTACATCCCATCCTTAGAGACCCTTCTACCCCAGGGGGCTGGTGGCCTGTTGGGCATGGGTTTGGGAGCTCTGGGGTTGGTACCTGTATGAAAAATTGGGCATAAACATGAAACAGGCATGCGCTTTAAACAAAACCGAATTACAAGTCCTGCCACCAAAGGGCAGGGCTCTGGCATTGCCAGGGCAGGGAAGACATGCCAGCCTGCTCTGAGGCAACAGGGTGAAGGTTTTTATGTCAAAGGGCTTTGGAATCATAAAGAAGCCACCAGAAGTACAGGGTAGGGGCGGAGTCAAAGAACACTGGACCAGAGGACCGCATACAGGGGTTCTGCTCTAAGTTGCTCGGTGACGTCAGTCAAGACCCTTCACTGCTCCAGGCCTTAACCTTCATTTGTACACTGGGTGCTTCATTGCAGGTGCTGCCCAAAGCCCTTGTCCACTCGGATAGCCTGTGCCGACTTTACTTGCCCTTCAGTTTGGGATGGGGGTCCAGTTCAGGCTATGCCAGGAACAGACAGGGACAGCTGGTAAGGCTCTTAGAAGGGCCAGGACGGACCGGAACCCATGCTCACCCTGGCTTCCTCTCCACCTGTGCAATATCAAGCCTAACACAGGGCCCCGCCTCCTCTAGGCTCCTCCCACCATTGCGTGATGGACTTCACTGTTGGCCCACTTTGCAGACTAAAGGGCTGACACAGGTGCAGAGAACACAGACTCCCAGACTGTTAGAAATCATCCTGCACACCCCACTCTCTCTCTAGATCAAGGGAGAAACTGAGGCCCAGAGAGTGGTTAGGGCTTGTTTGGAATCACACAGCATGCTTGTGGCAGAGCCAGGGCCTACACCCAGGATTGATGTCCACCTATCACCAGCTCCGTTACAAGTCTCAAGCCAGGCTCAGGTTTATCTGTTTATCTGCCCATCACCCGCGTCAGCCAGTCCTCTGCTTCCGCTGATGGAGGCAAGCCTCAGTTTCCCTGTTGGAGCGAGGGAAGACATGAGGGTTTCTGGGTCAGAGCTCGGTGAGGTTTTCTGAACTGGGAATAAAGGAGGAGCAAGGAAAGCGCAGGAGACACATTGTACTTGGGACCAAAACTCATCTTCCTGGATAAAGCACAGGTCAGGGAACAGCATCACCCAGGTTGGGTACAGGACTGAATACCCAATAGGCAGAAAAGCTTGTACTCGGGCACAAGCAAAGCAGGGGCAGAGAGAGACTCCAGTCCAATGAAAAATTGCTAACTATCCTCACAGTTTGATCCAGGGAACTGATTATCAAGTTTATGGAACCATCTAGTCCCACCTGGCTGGAGGGCAGGCAATAGTAGGAAAAAGGGACAGGATTTGAGGCTCTTCCCTTCCGCGGCTCTGTGCCTCAGGAGGTTGTCCTTTTGGCTCCAGGCTCTGAACCTTCTGGACTTGTCAGACCCCAAGGGGCAGCTGGTCCCACTGCAAGAAACCCGAGTAGCGTCTCCTGGGCCCTAACCCAGCTCGGAGGCCCCTTGCGGGAGGGACAGGAAAGGAGGCAAGGGCAGCAGGCTGTAGATCTCCTCCCTTTTTAGCCCCTCCCAGCTCCCCCCAGAACAGCCCACATGCATCCCACTCTGGGGGCCTGAGGAGGTTCTAGTCTAGACCAGCGCGTCTCAAACTTGAAAGCTGATTGTAATCACCAGAGCATCTTATTAAAAGACAGGTTCCGTTTTAGCAGGTCTGGGGCCAAGCCTGAGATCTTGCATGTCTAACAGGTCCCACGTGATGCGGATGCTGTGAATCCTTGGACCACTCTGCGAGAAGCGGCCCTAGAAGATGATCATCCTCTGAATGGTGGGAAAGCCGAAGGGCCAGAGAGGTCAAGTCACTTGTCAATGGCCACACAGCTTGCAGCCCCAGACTGAAGGAAAAGGGCACCTGCCACAGGCAGTAGAGCTTTCCCCACCCTGGCAGCCGGAATTAGCTGCCTTCCTGGGCCCAGGGGCCGTGTTTGTAAACTCCGCTGCCCCGCGTGGCTCAGCCCGGGGACAGGGAAACGGCGCCGCCGGGCCGAGCCTTCCCCACCGCCCTGGGTGCGGGCCTCTCGCAGTTCCCCTCCTGGCACACCCCGGCCGACCGGAGGGAGCTCGCGGCGCCGAGGGTCCCCCGCGGCGGAGCGGTTCCACACTTCCCTCCCCTCCCAAAGCAAACTTCTCCGCCAGCGCCCTTTACCTTTTGGGGGGGTTTGCAGCAGTTCAGTGTGCTGTGTCCGCAGCCCATCCTCCTCCGGGGGCTCCCGGACGCCTCCTCTCAACTCCGGGGCCCCCAGAGGACCCTGCCGTCGGGGCCCCGTTGCCCTCTCCGCGCCCGCCAGCCAGGGCTGCCGGCGAGACCCTGAAACTGAACCTGAAAGCGCAGACTTGAGCTGGAGCCCGGCGTCCGCACGCCGTAAATACCCTAAGAGCAGGGCCTCAGCAAAGCCCTTGAGGTTTGCTGCGCCGCCGCTCAAGGCAGGTGACTAGAATCTCTGTGATAGGAACTTCTGACTAGGGCGGAAAAGATCCCTATGAGCAATGGATGCTTTTCCGGCCCTCGGCAGAGAAAAGGCCAGAAAAAAAAAAAAGCATTTTTTTCTTTTTTAAATTAAACACAACAGCTGCCATTTATTGAGGGCTGCTTCTGTCTCAGCTACTTTACACATATTATTATACTTCTATTTCTTGCCACTTCCTTGCAACACAGGTATTATTGCCTCTATTTTACAGGTGAGAAAATGAGGCTTAGAGATGTGAAGTCTAAGCTCACATAGCTAGAAGGTACCGGAGTCCAGAAAAAATTCAGTTTTAACTCCAGAACCTAAGCTTCAAACGACTTCCTTATAAATACATAATAACATTAAGTTTAGTTGCAATGCCTCCTTACTTCGGGGTGGATAGCTCTATCCCGCTCACAAGCATCTGTACTATTCTATTCTATCCATCTTGGAGAGGTGTTATCCATCACAACAACCTAGTGTGGCAGATGCAGCGGCAATAAGGGACATAAAATTGTCAGCGCCTGGGTGAAAGGACTTTTGTGTACCCTCATTGTGGTACTAGCTGAGGTTTCTGAGAGTGGCAATGCAGGAAAAATACACCTACCTTTGAAAATCAGTGTGCGTACGTGTCTGTGAGCATATTAGGAAATGAATTCTACAAGGCCCAGAGGCCCTTGGAAAGGTGTGTTGATAAAAAGGACTTACAGTCATGAATGGGGACAGAATACGAGACCACAAAAGCACTTCCACAGAGCATAAGACCAACTGCAACAAGCTTTAAAACAGGAAACTAAGGACACAGGTGACATCATGTTCTTGGAAGGAAGAATAATGTAGGATGGTGGTTCACAAAGTATGGTCCCAAACCAGCAGCATCAGCAACACCAGAGAACTAGGTTAGAAATACAAATTCTCAGACCCCACCCAGAACTACAGATCCTAAACTGTAGGGATGGGGCTCAGGAATTGACAGCTTCACAGTCTGACCCATTGCTAAAACTTGAGAACCACTGCTATAGGATGGGCTAAACAGGTAATGAGGAAAGAGTATCTACTTAAATTAACAATGTTTATTGAAAGAGGCTCATGATTTAATAAAAACGGAAACGAACAAACAAGCAAAAAAAAATCTAAATATCTAAAAAAAGAAGCTTGGTTAAACAAATTATGATCTATCCATAAAAATAGACTATCATGTAACCAGTAAAAATACTAATGAGGGTGAATGTTTTAAATGTTACAAAATGTAACAAATTTGTTCTTATTAAAATATATTAATAGTGATTACCTCTGGATGGGTGAGATTTTGGATTTTTAAAATCATTCTTCATTTTCTTATATTAAAAATGAGTATACACTTATTACTATTGTAATAGGAAAATTACTATTGTAATAAGAAAACAAGTTTTTTTATGTTTTTAAATGCTTATTTGAGACTAAGACTAGTTTTTGCACCATCAACTCATGGGAAAGTATGTGAAGTCCTAAAGAAATAATGACTATGAATTAATTAAGTAGAAAACCAATAAAAAGGGCAAAAGGGCAAAAAAAAAAAGTGTGGGGAGATCATAGCCGGGAATGCTCTGTGTGATCCTGAACCAGTTGTTTCCCCGTTTAGAGACTTTCACATCTGAACATTGAAGAGCTGAACTTTCTAAAACCATCTCAATTTCTAATGTCACCAGTTGAAATCAATAACCTGGGCTGGTGGGTGGGAATTTGGAAGGCTTGTTCCTACAGCCTCTGTTTTCAAGAGGTCTTGCCTCCAGCTTCTTTGAGCTTCATGGGAGGCCAGGCTCAGATTTACCACTTTCACACAACTTGGCTTTTTCATTGTGTGCTTTGAAGTTCCTGCCTGAGAAAAAAACTCTGAAGAGTTTTTGTTTTGTCTTGTTTTTTGCTTTAGTAACTTGACTACATTGCTAATGAGGTGTTTGGTGGTTGATACACCAGTCAGGTTAGGTTAGGTTTTGCTGCAGCAATGACAAATATAAAAATCTCAGTGACTTCACACCAGTGAGGCCAGGTTTTGCTCACACTACCTGTCCAGCATGGGGGATGCAGCAGCAGGCTCTGCTTCACAGGGACATGCTATACCGTCGTATGATGCAGCCAATCTCAACACCATGGCTCCAGGGTTTGCCAGGGCAAGAGAGGAGAGTGTACCGAGAATGGTGCATGGACTTATCTTAAATGCTACCACTCAGAAGTGACGCCCATGAAGTCCACCCACACATTTCATTGGCCAAAGCAAGTCACATGGTCATGCCCAACCGCAAGGTGTTGGGGAAGTGTAATGTGTGTCCAGAAGGAGAGGAGAACCTGAAATACTAATAAACAGCAGTAAAGTCTACCCATAGTTAGATATCAGAAGCAGGTACTATAATGTGTCCATTTCTTGGGCAAGTTGGGTGAGTAATATCCTAGTTTACTCAGGATTTCCCCATTTTTAGCACCAAATAGCCTATGTGTCAGGAAACTCCTAGGTCCGAGGCACACAGGGATGTTTGGCCACCTTATGGACAAGATACAGTGAAGATACAAGAGAAGAAGACTAAGTTCTTGACCTTGAATTAGTTACAATCTGTTTTTTGTTTGTTTGTTTGTTTTGACATTAGACCTATGCCTAGGAAACGTTGGGAAACAATGCAAAATAGGTTATATAGCTAATGTCAAGTTGTACTCCTCATGTGGAAAGCATTAATATTAAAAGGAGATCAGAGACTATAGTGGATGGGGACAGGGAAGGAGGACTTCCTTGAGGAATATTAAAGCCAAAGGACATTCATGCCAAAGGGAATCCTAGAAACTCAGGTTGGGATGAGAGCTGATGTTTTACTTCCGTTGCTTGCAACTCATGTCTATTTTATAATTTCCCTTTTGGGTGTTTGTGCAGCCTATGTTTGAATACTTCCAGTGATGGTGAAATCACTACCTATCTTGCTATATCTAGGGGGAAGAGGAGAAGCAGGGAGGAGTAATTACAAGAGGAACAGCCAGAGGAGAGTCAGGGTAGAGTGTGGAGGTTGGGGAGGTGGGGAGTGAGGAATTAGCATTGGTAGCTAGGTTGTGTATAAAGGGATAAAAGTTGAGGATGGGGTGGGCTTTCTTGGGAAAGATTGGAAAGAACAATACAGGCATTATCCTAGGCCTCTTTCATTAGAAAAGCACAATATACCCATATCTTAAAACTTTTGCATAGAATTTGAGGCAATTCAGGGCCCCCTGCAGCCCAGGCAATGGGGCTGTGCCTGGATCCCAGGTTAGTAACTTCTCAGCTCAGTAGCTGTTAAACACCTTTCTAGCCCCAAAAACTTTTTCTGTTTAGATTCTTCTGATTGAGCCCAATTGTTCCCCAAATATATGCTGTCTGCCCAGAGTGACTTTCTTCTCCATCCTTCCCTGTGGGTTATAATTCTACCTGTACATCAAGCAGTAGCTCAAATGCCCTCCTTTAAAAAGCCTTGCAGCACCCGCTCCACAGGTCTCTCAGCACAGCTGGCAGTTTTTTTCTGAGTTACACTTGTTTGTGTGCTCTGTGTATCCTCCCTAATGGGCTAAAGGTTACACAGCTTGTCTCCTCCCTCCTCACCCCACCCAGTAGATTGTGGCTGAGACTTCAGTCACCTTACTCAACTTTCATTCTTCCCTTTTCCTTAGTTACAGAATCCTGATATTTTCTGGGAAAGCAATGTGCTGAGCGAACAGGCAACTTAACCCAGCTTTCCTTGCATCTAGGGTGGCCAGCGATACGTAAGGGGAAATTACTGGTTGCAGCTTCCAGGAAAACTATTAGGGGAATGACTCAGCTGGGAGCAGGGATCCCCCTTTCCTTGCCCCTCCCCTCTTTTCCTGCCTGGAATACAGACACGATGGCTGAATTCCAGCAGCCATTTTGGTACCCTGAGCAAAGAGATGGGAGTTGTCTAATCTCTAGTGAATTTATGAAGCCCTACACCCCAGCCTTGATCAGCTACTTCCTAACTTTTTCATGTGTTAGAATAAACAACAAATTTGTTTAAACCATTGCCATTGAGATGCTGTCACTAACAGCAAAATACAATTTCTAACCAATACCTGGTCCTTAATTGAGGTTATATTAAATTTAATTAGAATAATTTGTCCCTTAGAGACACTGGAGGTGATAAATGAGGTTCTGCTGAGAAAGATACCTTGGATTTGAGAGGCTCTGGATGGAAATGTTGCTTTGACAGCTTCCTCTTGGGATATACACAAGAAAAGGAAATGAGAGGGAACCTAAAATTATTGAGTACTTACGTGTCTTTTGGAGCATTGCTCAAGAAATGGGCAGGCTCACTTGCTTCAGGATCACCTGGGCATTGTTGGTGAAAACACAGTTTCCCTGGAGCCCTCTCTCCTTTCCCACGTATTGAATCAGGACCTGCAGGACAGAGTCAGGAATTTTCACACTACAATTTGAGCCTGATTGCTCCAGTGGGTGTGGAGGGGTCATCTCACCAGGGAATTGAATTGCTACATTAATTATATTGAATTGTGTTGAATTGAATTAATAGGGAGGTCCTTGGAAAGGAGAATTGAATCTGAGTAGTGCTCATTAGCAAGATGCCACCCCTGCCTATTTTCCCAGGAGGCCTGTGGTTTGGGATTTGGGGCTGCCTTGGGAGAGGTGACAAGATTCATGTTACCACTTTGTTTACCAACAAGTGTTGATTTGTGTCAATAATCATTGGTTGGCGCTCTTTCTGTTCAGATGGAGGACCTCCAGGAGTTTATACGGTAAGGCAGAGTAGGAGGGGCACAGAAAAAAACCTCACCAAGGGATTTTCTCTAGGGAAAATTGCACATCGCCTCTTTAGGTGGGCTCTAGGGCCCAGGGGTTACTAGTAAGGGGCAAAAGTGGATATTTCTTTACAGAAGTGGTTCTTAGAATGTGGTCCAGGGGTCAGCAGCACCAGCATTTCTTGGGAAATTGTTAGAAATGCAAACTCTTGGGCCCTACTCCAGACCAGCTGCATTCGAAACCACTGGCTGTGGGGCCCAGAAATCAGTGTTTTATGAGTCCTCCAGGTAAGTCTGATGTGTGCTTATGTTTGAGCTGCTTCAACCTTTCGGTCCTCCTCATATCTGACAGCCATTTTGTTTTTTCAGTGGGCACAGAGATGAAGGATAAAGTGGGGTCTAAGGGCTCAGTGGATCTACAGGTGGGCCCCATTTTCCATGTTTGAGATGTCCTTGGCTGGGCTGGGTGTTTGGGGTCTAGGCCACCCCTACCTGCACTCTCCATGTGAAACACAGGGACTGTTCCGCAGGCTCTGAGCCAGGCCCTGAGCCATCTCACATCTAGGGACTAAGGGTGACTTTCTGAATACAGTCCTCTGATGAGCAGCGTGTTGGTTTAAATGTAATCAAATGAGCAGGACTCCAACAGCAGCTGGGGGCTTCCCAGGCTCAGATCAGAGATGGATATTTGCTTGTCTGGTTGTACCTAAGTCAGTAATCTACTTGTCCCTTCCTACAGGCTGTCCCCTCACATCCCTTATCAGAGAACCGTGTTTGCACCTTCTGTATGTGCCCACGAGACGTCACGTTCTCAATTCCATTCAGTTCCAAACATATTACTGTCTATCCTTGCTCAGCGGGAACCCCAGTTTCCAGCAGCGCACCTCATTCTTTGATTTGAGAAATGAATATTTTTCCATCTGTGTCGCCTGCTATTTAGTCATAATTTGAGCAGCCCTTTTGCACCAGACAAATGTCCTGACCCCTCCCTTCCGGAAAACCCACTGTTTCCCAGCCCTGATGTCACTTTCCTAGATCCACCCCGATGGGAACATCTTACCCACATGAAGCTAACTAAAGTGAGAGTCCCAAGAAGATGAGGACAGGGACTGTTTTTTCCAAGACAAGAATTGGAAAATACAATTTGGCAAAGAAATTTGTGACATTTGTATTTCCTTTATTGACTTGACTTTATTCATTCATTTACTCTTTGCTAACATATTGGAATTCTGGGGCATCTCAATAGTTTATGGGGACAAGGAGGTAGAATATTTGCCGATGGGAGTGGCCCAGAACATAGGAGAGGTATGACTGAGGTCCAAGGCTTAATACCTGAATGTCTACAGGGCTGTGTAGGTACATAAATGAGGAGAGGGCCAGCATGAGATGGGGTACAAACTGGGAACCACATACTCACCAAAAGGAGCACAGGTGGGTGAACATTAGAAGGAAATAAAGGCCCAGGCACTGGCCTAACCTTCCAGTTTTTGAAGAGAAACTAGAAATCTGTTTATTTTTTTAATGTAAAATAAATATCTCTCTTCTCTCTCTCTCTCTCTCTCTCTCTCTCTCTCTCACACACACACACACACACACACACACACACACAAACACATCATGCAAGCTAAACCAAACATTTAATATTTGCTGGAGGTTACATTGCCTCTGGTCCAGGTAGCCAAATAATGTAACAAGGGTATGGAAAAATACCATAAAAGCAAAAGGAGTGCCTGACTCTATCTGGGAAAAGAAAGGGAAGCACAGGCTTTACTGAGGAGGTGATATCGGAGCTGGGCTGTGTAGATTATGTAGGGGTTCTCCTCATCAAGAAAGTGAGGAAGTGTAACTATGGAGGTGACGGATGTGTTAATGAATGTGACTGTGGTGATCGCTTTGCAATATCGACATGTATAAAATTAAAATGAAAAAATAAAAGCAAGTGGGAAAGAACACTCATGCCCCGTGCTGAGTGGGTTGCAGGGGGGCTCAGTGGCTCAGTGTGGCTGGAGTGCTGGGCTAATGGAGGGAGAGAGGGAGAAACAGATAGAGAGGGAGGGGCTTCAAGACATGGCCAAGACATTTTTACTTTATCCTGTGGGCAATGGGAGTGGCACTAATTGATTGAAGTTATACTTGGTCACTCTGGGGCTCAGGCGGAGGGTGGACAGAAAGTGCTGTCCTGGAGCCATCAAATATCTACTGAAATGGCTCCTGAGGGAACTGGTGCAGGTCCAAAAGTCACTTTGGTCCAGAAGGACCGAAGGTCCAGCTCAGGCCCTGCCCTCGCTGAGCTCCCAGCCTGATATAATCTAGTAACTACGGTGAGCGTGGGGTGCTGCGAGCTAGGCAGAGAGCAGTTTCCTCTCCTCTCAGCTTGGGAGGCGCCAGCTAACAGCCAGCAGTGTTGTGGTTACCGGGGCCTTGGGTTACAACACATGTTTGTTTTTAAAACACGTTGCAATACCTTTTAAATCAGGGCTCTGGACAAGATCCAAGGACAGTAGCAGGACCAGCCCCTGTGGCGCTTCTTAAAGAAGCAGCTGCAGAGGGCGGGAGACTCGGGAACCCAGATTGCTGGGAGGGCCTGAGTTCAGGCAGAGCTTGGCAGGTGGGCAAAGCTGGAAGGAGATCAAATCTCCAGTTCACCCCATTATCCTTCTTCCTTCTTCAAGGCACTTTCAGATCCACAGCACTTGAAAAAGAGGATCAGTCTTCCAAGCTGTCTTGGAAAACTAGAAGCAGTGGTTAGAAGTTCCCAGGAACATGGGATCCAACTCCTTAGGAGGACAGACCCTCCAACTGGTCCAAGATTCAGGGGTCCAGTCTGACAGGAAGTGAGTGTTTCATTGTGGGAGGTATGCAAGCAGAAGCTAATGTTGGGAGGGTATGTTGGAAAAACTGTGCAAGGGTCTGCTGGGGTAGGTATCCTAAGGGAACAGATGCTTAGATCCATTTTGATTGCGACTGGAAGGAGTCCTTGTCCCTTTCCAGAGACAGAAGTTATTCTTCAAAGGAGTCAAGATTGGGATTCAAGAGACTTACATTCTGGGGCACTGTTGGTGGGAATGTAAAATGGTGCAGGCGCTATGGAAAACAATATGGCGTTTCCTCAAAGAATTAAAAACATGGTGCTATGACCCAGCAATCCTACTCCTGGGTATATATCCCAAAGAATTGAAATCAGGATCTTGATGATGCACTTGTTCATTGCTACATTATTCACAAAAGCCAAGACATGGAAAGAACCCAAATCTCCACTGACAGAAAAATGGATAAGGAAAAGGTGGTGTATACATACAGTGGACTATTAGTCAGCCTTTATAAAGAAGGAGAGTCTGCTATTTGTGACAACAAATGGATGAACTTGGAGGACATTAGGCGAAGTGAAGTAAACCAGTCACAGAAGGACAAATACTGCATGGTTCCACTTATCTGAAGTATCTAAAAATAGTCAGGCTCATAGAAGTAGAGAATAGAAAGCTGGTTCTAGAGATCTGTGGTACAACACAGCGCCTACAGTTGGCAATACTTTATTGTGCACGTAAGCATTTGTTAAGAGAGTGGGCTCATGTTAAGTGTTCTTACCACAAAAACAAACAAAAAACAAAGGGGCACAAGGAAATTTTTGGAAGTCACAGGTATATCTGTTACGTTGATTCTGGTGATGCTTTCAGGGGTGTATGCATATGTTCAAAATCACTGAATTGTATACATTAAATACGCAGATTTTTTGTGCATCAATTATGCCTTGTTTTTTCAAAAAGATTTTCATTCTGATCCTTGGCTCACTATTGATTTGTTTTGACCCTGTATAATTCATATACATAGGTTTCTCTGGCCTCACACCTCCACCCTACTTTTTACCTAGTACCTGGGATGGAGTAAAAGCTAGCAAAGATTTGTTGAACAAATGAATGAATGAATGACTTGAATTGAGTCTGAAGTTGGATTGGGATCAGCGGGCTTCAGAGTTTACATAAACCTCCTGAAATTACATTCACAACTGTGTGCGTATAAGTAATTAATTTTTTTTTCTGTGTAGAGGGTCTATAGCTTTAATCACCATCACCATAATTTATTGAGAATTTATTATGATATTCTAAGGTCTTTACATACCTTATCACATTTAATCTTCAGGAACCATGAGAGAGATTGAAAGGGCTACTAATTCCACTGCACTAAAGTGGGAACAGGTTTGGGAGTGTAAGGACTTGCTTAGGGTCATATACTGGATTTGAACCTGGGTAGGTTCATCAGACTCCACAACCTGAGCTCTAAACCACCATGATAAATTAGTTACTACAGCTTTTCAAAAGGTTTGTGACTCCAGAAGGTGAAAAGGAAACTTTGTATGGCCCTAGTTTGATTTCTCTGCAGAACTGTGGGGGAATGGGGAGAAAGGGATGGAGGTGGAAGAGAAAGAAAGCCAGCCAGAGCCCACCCAGCAAAAGCTGCTATTTAGAGCAGCCCGAGCCCCCAGAAAGGATGATAAAGGGGCGGGCTGGGAAGAGCAGTTGTAACAGAAGCCTGGG